TAGTTACTGGTTTATATCACTGATTGCTTCTAGATATAGGATTCAACAACCCTTTCCTTGTTTCCTTCTAACCAATGTTCACTATTGTGATTTGAAGAGAGGATAATGGCCATCAAATTATTATTCAYTATCATATTTTACACATAATATTTGTGAAGTGTTCCGTTACACTTGTTTTTTGCTTGCTCATAATCTGATATAATCTTTTTTTTGCTAGTTAAATGTATGGTTGTTTTAGGTGGTATCCATTTTATATAGTTTCCATCCTTCACTGAGGTGTTTAATGGGAAGCACAATTCTGTGAACTTAGATACATCATAAAGCCAATTAAAAGAGAGTATTTTTCTATGGTATACATTCACCATATACCCCAGACCCTACCTCTGTGGTTTGGCTTATGTTACATATGGTATTATGTATCCATTTACAATAATAAATCACTGTCTTTTAATTCTAAAGAAACTCTCTGCAGGCGCCATCCTAGTCCAACAAAAGAGATGCTTGAACCTTTGTTACGTACGGCTGCTTCTGTTGGCCTCGATTTGGATGTATCATCATCTAAAGCATTTGCTGATTCACTTGATCGTGCTGTGGTTAGTTCTGACTGACAAATTTTGATGTTGACAAGCATATTATCAAATGTTATAGTTCATTTGTCCATCATTAATTAATTATAGAAGTTACTGTATAGCTTCTTAGTAATTTTATCTTATATAACAAATCTTACAGGGTGAGGATCCATACTTCAATAAGTTGATCCGTATTCTGGCAACAAGATGTATGKCACAGGTTGGTACACTTAGTTGGTGTAGTCATATACTATTTATATATCTTTTTTTGCATGTATATAGACATATATTGATATATCTACATGGCTTCCCATTTCAGGCCGTTTACTTCTGTAGTGGGGATCTTAGTCCTCCAGAGTTTCACCATTATGGGCTTGCTGCACCTCTATATACACATTTCACGTCGCCAATTAGAAGATACGCTGGTAACTGAAAATTTCAAACCATCTGTTTTCACATCGAACAATCCCCTACCCCCATGCATTTTTTTT